ACCGTTGCGGAACAAAAACGTAACTGAGATGGTGCTGCGTATTGACCAGTTGGCCACGATTAATTGACATGCGAACACATACTTGGGCATCATGATAGAACGGAACGAAGGCATCGATGTGACAACATGTCGAGCAATGTACATTTCTTGTGATTATTTTTCTTATTCAATAACTCTTTGGGATATCAATTTGCCGATCTGCTCTCTTTATCTTCCGAAACCTCGAAACTCGTCTCTCATTTTAGGAATAAATTCCATCATTTTAGAGCATCTGTTGCTGAATACAATCTAAATGCCAGGTAATAATTACCGTAATATACGACAAGGATTTAAAAAACATGATCGAGAACATATTGATGTTGCTCTCCCATCTGGCGAATAGTGGTGATCATTTATGTGCTGTATGTTACTTCAGGACTATGATAACGATAATATTGACCACATTAGTTTGCGCTATTTCGAACATTCTTATACGGTTGGGCATCTATGTTTCTTTCTTTTTTTGTACTAGCCACTTTTCCGCGATGAAAGCGAAAAGCATTATATGGAGCATTACATGAATATGTTTAAGTTTATTTTTGTCACGATCACCTGATATTTTCATCAACAGCAAGAACTACGGATTCTGCTGTAATTTATTCTAGAACCAATAGTCTTCTTAACCGAACCAAAAACTATCCTCTACATGAAAATTCGTCACATAAATGCAAGCTATTCAGATTATTTTATAGGTTTTCAAAGCATATCATGAAGTTACCACGTATGTCTTATGCACGATCGTCGCACCGTACTACTAATGATGAAAATCTTAAGCATCTGAATTGCTAATTTGTTCATGTATTCATTATCTTGTTCCCAAGAAAAGAGTGCCACAACTGAAGTTTTCGTTTGTAGCAAGTTTATGACATCCACTCCAGAAATGTGTTATTATTTATCACTATCCGAATCCGCTATCGTCGAAACTAAGCCCTTTCTTGAATATCTCTTGAATTGAGATATTCTTGTGTGTTTATCTCTTTGAGATCAAACCTCAAAGAGATCAAAGATTTTGGACCGACGCGGAATCGAACTCACGCCCTCTGAACAGATCGGATCCTCAATGCCCAGCGTGCACACCAGTACACTATCGGCCCATTGAACGATGTTTCATATTTGATTCAAGTACTATCTCTTTTAGTACTATCATCATTAATGCTAGCTTTTCGCGCTAGTCGCGACAGCTATGTTACTGCGATTATTTATTATTATCGTTATTATTTGTTGTTATCATTAACTCCATTCTCAACCGTGATAATATTCAATAATATTTCTGATCAATTTTTAATTGTGATCGTCTGTCTCAGCGACTACTTCATTATTTCGTTAGATTGTGTGTGATGCGATGGTTTCTTTTCACCTTGTTCGGATTGCGTGTGTCTTTCTATAAACTTCGTGTACGGAAATTACCAGATCTTCTGCATAATAATATGATGATGAATAAAATAAAAGTTTGTAAAAACAATTATGAATCAAAAAATTGACTTTCATAGAGTGTCAACAAAAAAAAATTGCTATGAACAAGTTTCGATGTACGTATAAATCCATTGGATGAAATTTTCAAAATACTTTCTGAGATTTTCGAAATGTTTTCAAACGATTCGGACGAGAAATTACAAAAATTCATGGAATATTCCATCTCAAAATCGCTCATAAAATTCAAGAAATTTTCAGAACGCATCGCAAATTTTTTGAGAAAAATTGCAAAAATGCCAAATAATATTAAAACATGAATGTGTTTTTGCTGCAGTTTCTTTGCTCAGATCATGGAAAATAACTTCGCTTCTCATAATCTTTATGCCAGAAACACCAAATCCTATCTTAGTTGAAAAAATGCGACTATAGGACTACTGAGATGTGAAGGTCCATGATTAACACGTATATGATGTTCGTGTGGAGAGACGGTTTTCTTCCTTCAGTCCAGTAAAGCTTCTTGTGATCCATTACATATCACTCATATTCTTAAAACGTTCATGATACTGAGGTACATTCTTTGAACACCGATGTTCAAAAAAACATCGTCCAAAGAATGCTGGACTCGTTTCCTTGCTGCAAAATGAATATCAGTTCTCAGTGGAGGTTCTTCGATTAGTTCATGAAAATGGGTTTCAGTTCCTATGGTTAGGTATCCACTTTCCATAATTTCCAACCTGAATTTTCCCCCCGCACGAATGCATACAATTATAAATCGATGGTATATAACAATTTGATACTATTCACCAAGAACATTTTTTGTGCCTAAAAAATACGAATAATGTTCTTCATGAAATGACTCTGCATTCACTACACTTCGAGAATAAAATCACAAATTGAAGGGGAAAACGTGGATCTTGGTATGGTACCAACTGCAATGTAGGTGTAGCTTAATCGCGACATGAGAAATAGAGCGTTTCAGTGTTATATAACGATTAAGTATCGAATAATCATCTGACATTTTTCAATCGTAGTCAGATAATTAATGCTCTCACAATCAATGAAATGCATAACTGAAATTCAAAATAAAGTGCATCACATATGCACTCCTGTAATTATGCAAAGCAGTTATCATTGCAGAAAAGTCCGTCCTATTCACGATCAGTACACCCTTTCCTCAAAGCCTTTAAATTTTTTGGTTGGAAATTGCATGAAAAAGAGCATGTTCCATATGGAACCGAGTTCATATTACGAGGGAAACAACTGTAGAATATTATTTTCTTGGAGATGGTTAATTTAGTGATATTGCGCGCTACTCAATAAAAACTGAAGTCTGAAAAATTTCAGTTGCAATTTGTGATACGTTGGTGACCACGAAAAATGAATTTCATTTCTGTGATCAAAACAAAAATCTGATCTAAATTCTAACAATAGTGCACCAGTGAGAATTTTTTGTTGGACAGTGACCAGTGATATTAATGGAATGCCATTGCGTAGACTGTTGTATACAATGTCCTGTAAACACGTCTATTATTTCAAAAATTAATCATTTTATTTTACCTCATTATTTTTCCAACGACAACGATGATAAATACGATTCAGCTTTTTCGTAGCAGATTGGGACTTTTTTTTCAGTTTTTCGTAGACTATGTTCAAACATGAAAGATACAGCTGAACATTGTGACATTATGGTGATAAAATCTTTTCTCAGGAAATGGTCCATCACCGTTATGATACATGTTCATCTATAAGGATGCATAATGTACAAAGAGACAATTGCTACCACGAATGCAATGAATTTGCATTCGTGATAATAATTGTTTCATTGGATTTCAAGCATTTGCTCTTGGAATTTCCTATTTATACGTCACTATACTTTATATTCGCTTTATAAGGTTTCCTCTTTGTTGGATCACGCTTTCAATGATCGTTCATACGTAATGTAATTTACACGTTCTCATGTAATTTACACATGTGCCGAAGTGTATAATCGGAGCTGTATGGTCCCTTCATAAAAAAGCTGAATGCACAGTTTAGTTTTCAAAAAGCATTTGATCACAAATTCATTGTTGTTTAAGATTATTTTTGCGGGTAAACTATTTGATTCAATCCGTTACTTCAATAATTCCTTCTGAGTCCTCTTGGTTGATAGAGGTTGTTGTTAGGTGTTACCGGATTTATGGGCGATGCGATATTGGGCTCTAGTGGCTGAATATTGGGACGTCTGAGTATTGGATAATTTGAGGATGGTTGAGGATAGTTGAAGGGTCGTGAGCTAGGGGAATTGATGGTTGCAGGGATCATGGAGGATGTTTGTGGTTTTTGGTAATCACCGAGTATTCTTGGAAGTGGCAAGGTTCTAGGGAGCACTTCGTCGACAAATGATTGCCTTTTAAAAAGACCCTCGCGGTCTTCACTGATCGATCCTCTTCTTCTCTTCATATAAAAATAGACAAATATAGCGATTGCAATAATCAGCGCCACCACAAATATTGCCATTAACACGATTCCAACAATCCAACCGGCACTTAATGAAGTTGACGGTTTCGCACTTCTAGGGGTCGGAGTAGTCCCAAGGAGTTCAGTAGGTGTACTTATACCAAGTACGCTGATATTTTTTGCCGCGCTCATTTTATTTGTACCGGTGATGAATAAATACATTTTGTATTTCCCGTTTCCAGGACTACGTTTTACTCGACTTTTATGTGAACAATTGAAATAAATGATCAAATGCTGTATTTCAGTTGCTGAAATTTCATACAAACCATCTTTCGAGGAATTCACGGGTTGCGCATCACCCTCATTAGCATTGCACATTGTCACTTTAACTTGAATTTCGCCGGTTGGTTTATGATCTTCCTCGTTGGTTATATTGAAACTGTACGATGAGCCAGGATGTACATCGACAGGGATTTCAACTGGATTACCGTATTTTAGCTCTTCAGTACTGTTCACGACCGTTTCTGATACTCTAGATGCTTCCGTGGGGGGCGTTGTGTATGCAGCCGTGGACGCATGCGTAGTTGCATGTGTGGATGTTGGTGAAGGAGAAGTGGGAGGCAACGAAGGAGGAGTAGCATAACCAACTACACTGATATTCATAGGTATATCTGCATAAATGATTAAATTCATTACAGGACTCGTTTCTGAACAACGGAACTTCTTGAGCATTGACTCTATTTTTTTTGCTGAAATTTCATAGGAATTATTTTTCGAACGTTCCACCGTTTCCGC